GGCCCACGGCGTCAGAAGGGACGGGTGAGTCACGGCGAGGCTGCAGGACCGACGCATGGCACTGCAGCGCATCAAGACTCAGACGGGCGGGCTGGACTCCGGGGGCAGGACGCGACGTGGGGGGCGTCCGTCCGTCCGTCCGTCCGTCCTGTCCCAGTCACTGCCGATAACACCCGTCTCCGTCACCAAAGCCCTGGTATTTACTCACCTGTCCGCCTGCCGGGCTTTCTGGATCCATCGCTCCTCTCCTGTCACTGTCCCAATTAATTCGGCCCCGTCAAGAAAGAGCGATGTGCCCAGATGCCTTATGAGGCTGATATGTAATTATTACTGTTTCATTCAAACCAATGGCGATGACGGGAGACACTTCCTGCTTCCTAATCCCTTTAACATTTCCTTTTTTTAAATGACAGCAAACTAAAATAAATTCCCTTTTAATGGGCTGCACTAGTGACATTTATGTAGCCGGACATCGTGAGAACACCTTTCTGTGGTGACTGAAATAGGCAACCATATTAACGCCTGGCGGTCGCCAGCCAGAAAGAGCGGAGCCCTGTTCACCTTTGGTTCTCGCCGGAATGAGCTTCGCTGTGAAGAGGGGGGCCGTGATCACTGCGAGCTCACGTCAATTAGCCACCGGGAGAAAAAGAAAAAAAGCTCCATGTGGTGTCAGCGAACGACTGCTCGACTTCCTGTCCGAAGTTGAACGTGACCACCTGACAGCCGAAGGGATGAGGGCAGACCGCCTGCTGTGTGGGAACACACACACACACACACACACACACACACACTGGGGGGGGGGGGGGCTCTACAAGGCTACACAGCAGCGCAGTAATGGCTTTAAGCTTTATTAAGTTTTCCATTTGTAACGTGTAGGCATCGTTTCAGAGACGCAATTAACGTCTTAAGCACTTGAGGGCTGATTAGTTTACTTCATAATAACCCGTAACTTCGGGCACAGAGGTAGCAAGTCAGTAAATGAGTCATTTGTTGGTGTCCGGGAACAAAACTTTTCCAATTACTGATCTGTTTCACTTTCAATCCACAAACTGACTGCCCACTTATTTTCGTTTCCCACCAAGATGGAAGTAAAAAAAGAAAGAAACTATTGGCGACGATGCGGCAGGCTTTACCTTTACCCACATTCCTCCGAGCAACGGTTTTTCACGTGCAACCAGGGGAGCAGGAGGACGTGGATGCACGTTTTTTGATAAAACCGTCATAAACCCCGCGACGAAACCGGGGCAACTATTTTGACTTGACTTCCAGACCTGAAATGCACTTCAAAAAAAAAAAAGACTCCTCGCAGAAAACGATGGTTTCAAAGCCTGCGAGGTTTCCCCTTCTGACCCGAGAGGCCAACGTGGGCTTTTCGCCCCGCGTCGTTCCACACATGTGACTTTCTGTTCAAGGTTGCTGTACTGCCAAAGTGAAAGGCAGAGTAGGTAATATTTTACAGGCACGTGCCCCGCGGCCGGTTGTGTCCTGTTACAGCAGGGTGGTGGTGGTGGCGGTGGGCGGGAGGGTGGGGGGGTCCTGACGTTAACATCAGAGTCCCAGACGGCCCCTGAACACCCCGGTCGATGATCAGCTCAGAAGTCTTTTAACATGAGCCTCCCGCTGTCGGTAATGTAATGCGTCTGGGTTCAAACGCTGCACAAACCAGAGACGCACTCGGCCGAAAAGCAGCCGCTTGATTTGAGATTGCGGCGCGTTTAAAATCAGAGAGCCAGGCGCCGCTGCCGCTCGCTTTGAAAGGGAACATTTACAAAAGACCAAACACATGGCGATGGACTCCAGGAGGACGTCGCGTCCGCCGCCGTCCAGGCCTCACGCATTTGGACCATGTGCTCAGTAAAATCCCCCGTAGGCTGCAGCCTTTCTGGCTCACATGGAAAGCCAAAAGAAGGGCGCAACAGGTCCTCATTTGAGAAGCTCCTAGGTGCAATAAACCCACTTGGTGTTCGAAAACTGCGTGTGAAACACAGGAAGATGAAAAGGGGACATGTTGAATGGGACGAATTACAGTAAGCGCCTGTGAGAGCGAGAGACTGTATGACACACAGAGAGAGAGAGAGAGCAGGAAGCGGTCACATGTTAGGAGGAGGGCGCCTGTCAGTCCTCTACGTCACGGGTGACGCCTCCCTCCCTCCCTCCCTCCCTCCCTCCCTCCACTACAACTCACATGACTGCAGTCGCCTCGTTCTGTAACTCCAGTCACGAGGAAGGAGTAGTATTACAAAGACCGGCCGGCAGGGGCGAGCTGCATAGACACAGACAGAGAGAGAGAGAGAGACACGAGGAGAAAGCCACCAGCCAGTCCTAATGACCCTGGGTAAATATTAACGCTGCGTTTGTAGAATAGATAACTTTATCAGACCACACATGAAGAAAGAACTTAAGCAGTGATACGATGTGCAGTTAGATTTCACGTCATGCTCTTTTCTCCTGGATCTCTCTCACGCTGTGTCACTCAAGGACTTTACACTTGAGACAAATGTTCAAAAACACAAGAGCTTCATGTGGCAGCGTTCCATCCCAGCCGAAACAGTCCAGGTGGCGTGAGCGCTAACATCACATTTCCCCAGAATTTGGCTTCTTTGGTGTCTTTGAAGAGTATGAGGTCTTCAAAAAGAAGTTTAAATAAAGTTATGTTGGTCTGAACGATATGGGGCCGTGCGGCGTGAATTAACCAACCGGTCGGTTGTGCAACCAGGGGGCGGCGGGGACACGGCGACCTCCGGTTCTGAGAAAAAAAGCCAACATGAAAAACCCCTCAAAACAAAAACCAAGATGGCCACAATCAAAAAGTCCAAACTCCAGGCTTCAAAACGCCAAACAACGACGTCACATTGACGACGTCCACTTCTTTTGTCCCACTTGGGACGGACACACGATTAGGAACATCGTGACGTCACAGATGACCAGTGAGGTATAAAGCGAATGTCCCTGTAGGAATATTGTGGTGATTTATGAGGCACACTAGTACCAAAATCTATAATAAAAAGCATTGTATGAACTCAAAAGGCCTGCGGGTGTATAACGGTATATTTTAGTTGAGTGATGTCATAGGACGGGATGAAACATCAATGTACGTCACTGCATGATCCCACCCCCGCGTGTTATCAAGTTGATGTCTTGTAATATTTTGGCATTATGCTGCATTCGGCACATCTGTATGTGTGTGTGAGCTGCTGCACGTTAGTTATAAATAGCACACGTCTCCCTGGATCCCACCGCCACACTTTGAATTAACCTGCTTAAGATGACGATCAGCAGTGACAGCCCCCCCCCCCCAACCACACACACACACACACACACACATGCATGCTCCACCACCTGACCACTCAATCACAGAAATACAGTACCAATCAACAAGACGCAATGTGACGTCACACAATGACGCAGTAAACAACGGGGGTCCGGTTTTCCAATGACAGGTCGTTTTATTGGTTCGCGTGCACGCGGTGGAAGGTACCGGTTTGACCTGGTTGGGGATGCGCCGTTCCCACAATTAGGATTCCTCACCAAACCCTGTTCACAAATGCCCTAATTGAGTGTTCCCCCTGTGCGTGCGCGGCGGCACATAATCCCGGAAGCTGTCGTCGGTATATGCAGCCTCTCTCCAAGAATTCGGCGTGGATTTTAGGCGCATTGCATCACTCCATGCTTATGAAATCTCCGGTTTCTCCGTTTCTATAACCGGTGACCGCCGCTCGCTACCGCCCTCCGCGGGGATCTTGAGCAGGAGATTATTCCGGGATTACAGCCAGTTGTAAAACTTCCCTTAGTGCCTTAATACGAAGCCGCAATGGAACTGCGCTCAAACGCCACATGCATTCATTTCAAAGAGCATTCGCGTGCTTTAAGCGTTGCACACTGGGAGCCGGTGAGCGGGGGATCCCGGAATTGAAGGGATTTCCGAACCCAGTTTGGCGTTTATATCGAAATCCGGCAGACAACATGGGTTGATGAAGTCTTATTCAGCCCCCCGGGGAGACACGACCGGAGAATCCGCCGTCTTTCCGGTTAGCCGCGGCCAACGACCGACGGTGTGAACCGGTCTGACGTTTTGTAACCGTTGCGCGAACGATTACGCAAACGGTTACGAAAGCTCCGAACCGCGCCGGCTTTTCTCGGCTGCTTCGGCCTGGGGGGGGGGAAGACATCGCCCGGTAACGTTTACCGATACGACCACCGAGCACCGAGCCGCCCGGTGGGAGCTGCTGAAGTTAAGACGCGACGCCACGCGCGCGCGGAGCGGCGGGCACATGCCCAGCGCGCAGCGTCCTTAAGCCCCCGGCGCCACGGCAAGCTGCTTACGCTGTGGATCAAGAACATCACAAAGCATGTTTTCACGTGTTTCCTCCCCAAACACACACACACACACACACGTTATTATTGAAGAAAACGGTTTGGATTTTGCGAGAATAATAAATACAAACACAATATCCCAGAAATGGGCACGCCGGTATTTTCTCCGCGTGTTTTGTTTTTGTCGATATGCGTCGTAATGCCATGCGATCATAACAGCCCCTGAAGAGGGGTCCATGCGCGCGGATGCGCACCACGTGTGCATCGAACTTCCCCTCACGAATGCGTCAAAAGTTTCCAAAGCGCCCCCTTGAATACCAAATAATCCTCCGCGAGCAGCGACACGCCGGCTGCTCTCCGCTGCCCGCGCCGGCACCGTCACGTGGACTCCTTTCAATCCGTCAAACGAACACTAAAGTAACGCCCGACGGGGCCGATGGCATTTCCTCCAACGACAACAACAACAACAACAAAAGACAGACGTCAAGACACAGAAGACATTCGCACACACGCGCACGCACGGAGACGCCGGGTCGCGCTGAGCCGGCTGAGATGCTGCTGACAAGCCGGGCGAGAGCCGTCGCATCAAGCGGGCTGCAGCGCGCACCGCGGCCGGGGACGTGCAGAGGCGGACCGCGGGGCGGACAGCCCGGGCTGCGGTGCGTCCGGCCGGGCGCGACTCTTACCTGGCTGCCGGAGTTTTCTGTCAGGTAATTGAAGACAAAGGACGAGAGTTCCTCATCTAATAGTGGAGCGCAGTCCGCCATCTTCTAGTGAATGAGGAGCCGCGGAGTCAGAGAGCGGAGTATAGGAGAGGAGGAGGAGGAGGAGGAAGAGGTGCAGTGGGGGAGAGCCGCCTGCAGGGGGCGCGTCTGTTTACACACACACACACACACAACACAAAAAGAGGTGTTATAAGCCATGCGGGTCTCCTAAATGGGGACCCGGGGGCCTCCAGGGGTCAAAGCAGTGGATCCAGGGGGATTAATTTAACCTCAGTGCGATTGAATCAAGTAATGATTATCGAATTATTCAGCGTAGTAGTCAATTGCAAATGGAGGGATTCCTTTATTTAAGATAATAATAAAAAATACATAAAAATATCCCGTTAATCCGTACAAAGAGACACTTAAAAAGTTAGAGAGAGAAAGAGAGCTCGTCAGAGGGACAGCTACAATGCATTTAAGAGATGGAAATATCAACGTGAACTTTAGTCACCTGTTAAATCAAGCATTTTCATCTTAAGTATATGCAGTTTGAAGCTTCTTGCAACTGAATTTCTTTTACTACCACAATGTGATGTGATGACGGTGATCATCGAAGAGGATTTGGTGAAGTCTGGTTCCGCTGACTGAAGCCGCCCTGGAAGTGTCTGTCGTTCTCTCTAGTGACCACCAGGGGGCGACTCCTCTGGTCCTATAGAGGTCTATGAGAAAATGACTGTACTTCTCTGTTTATTTATTTCCTCAGTAAACATGGTAAACATACGTTTATGGTCTCAATCTATAGTTTCAAGTCCTGACGTTCATTTAATACATTGTGATCCATTTAGAGTCCAATAGACCTTAAAGTAGGGGATGCCTTAGGGCGGGGCTAGTGTGATTGACAGTTCTCTCCCAAATATGTTCTAAGCGACCCGATGACGTTGCCGTTTTGTTATTTACATTCTGAGGGGTGTTGCATTGTCTTATTTTGGGCCCATAAAACAATCCAGATAATTTACGGATCCTGCGTTTACATTTACTGTTCCAGCGGGCAGGTTTTTTAAGTTGAGTTTCCTGTAATCCTATTTTCCCTGCTTCGATGTTCAAACCATCGACTTCAGACATTACCTGGGAAAAAACGAGCCTGCTCCTTTGGGACACGCGCTGTATGCTCTAAAAAATATCCCCGTCGAGCCGCTGTGCCTTTGTTTCCAGACGCCTGCATGGACATCAAGTGTTGGCTGTATCCTGTTACTGTTGCCAGGCAACCGCCAAACCAACTTCTGTCAGTCACTTAGCTGATAAAATTAGCTGGTGCCGTTGTAAAAGAAAGAAGCTCATCAGGTCCTGTCACAACACTGATGCCATAATCTTTTGTGTTGTTGAAGAAGGCCGGACCGTTAACGTACAATTAAACTGTTTTTCTGTTTTCTGGGATTTTCACCAAAAATCGGCATTTGTTGCAGACTTTGTTGCAGCGTGTTCAGGACATTTATGTGGTGAAAACATTTCAGTGATAATTGCAAAAAACAACAACAACAACAACAAAACACCCTGTTTTGGCTCACAAAATAAACCCATAACTTTGTTTCTATCAGTTTCATGTCAGTGATGAAAAAGACTCTTTGGAGGTCGATCGTTTCTTAGAGCGACAGCGAGCGAGCAGCTCAATCAGCTTTCGCTTGATCTGGATACGTGAAATAATTACAATATTCTTTAAAAACGCATACTATAACATCATGCACCAAAGCTGTCACATGAGGCTATCTGTGTGGTAATATGGAATTTTTCTACCTTTTAAAAATAAAAATTGTTATTATTTTAAGTTATTCGAATTGCAGCTATTCCCACGAGCAGATAAGAGAAAATCCAGCATGATGACACACGCACACTAGCAGTGGTGATTGTGACATTATCTCTGCATTGCAGCACAGGCGCTGTGTCCTCTGTGAGTGTGTGTTGGTCAGTACCTTATAGCAACGAGCGCGTGCTGCTACGTCTTAGTGAGGGCCGATTCATTGTAAAATTTGAGGATAGTTATAGGAAAGTCTGAAAGTCTTATTCCGCGGTTTTGATCATCATTAGCAGTAACAATAGGGCGGTAATAATCCAGGATGGTATTAGTTCACGCGGACAGGTTACTCCTACTCCAAACAAGGTAAGAGGTAGAATAATTACCTGCATTGCATGTTTGAGAAGTAAGTAAAATGAGTTGATTAAAACAGCAGTGGTGTGTCCACAAACATAGAAGATTGTTCCAACCATGATAATAGAGGCAACAATACCTCATATTTCTGAGTCAAAAGAGAGGAAGCGTTAATGTGTGCCTTCTGATAATAACCTGTTAAACGGAAGTTGATCTTCTCTTCTTGTGTTACCACATTTGTGTTTACATTTGAGGCCTTCAGCGAGCCCTCTGGTTCAGGCAGACGAACAGCGCAGCCTTCCACTTCCAAATCATCAGTGTCACAAGGAACGAGATTAGTAGGTCAAAGGTCAGAGGGGAGACGGGGGTACTGATTAACGGGACAACACGGAGCCGGATCAGTGGGGCGATACAGAATATATAGTAGTACAAATTGTGCTTGTGTTTTAAAAATAATAACTCCTCTGGGAAGAAACACAAGTATGTGCGAGGAAGTGCCACCGGGAGGGGAGGGGCTAACAACATAAATGTCTCAACAGGAAAGAAGAGTCCACTGAAGAGGACAGTCTGGGCTGTGAGCTGCAGCAGGACAACCGCGGACACCATCGCCGTCCAGGTATCGGAGCTGTCAACTGAAAGGAGGAGGTATTTCTTAGCAGCATCCAGAACATCCACGCTGACATTTCGATAACGTTTGGTGCTCACGGGGTCAGTCGCCCATCCAAAAACAGGGCCGCAGTGTAAGGTCAGGCGGCTGCCAAGCGAGGAGCTATGTGCCCGGTGCTTCTTTGAAACCAGTACAGTATTTCATCACAGGCGACACTCCAAAATCATCTCAAGTTCTGGCCTCAGTTTATTTGAGTACTTTGCGCCGATAGAAAAAGAACTCCACGCTGACAACACGGTGTTCTTCTGAAGGCCTCGGATGACCTCTGTGCTAAATGGACAGCGTTCAAGACTGGAGCAAAGATTTCTATGTTAAATTTCGTCTTGTTGGGATGAAACACGTTTGATGACTTCATCATGTGATTTTATTTATATAATGGATTTATTTATTTTTGTCTGTAGTTATTCTGCATTTACAATTTCATTATTTTAACTCAAATAGAAAAAACCCAGTCCAACAGGACTGAAATCTTAAGAGTTTCCCTTCTCTATGCAATTCGTAAGTGACTGTGTTGAGGTTCTAAAAGGGTCCCGAAGGGCTGCAGCCCCTACCCAGAATCGCAGTAATTCATGAGAGGAAGGATTCCATTAATAACCTCTCTCATCCAAAGATGCGTTTTTGTAAGTAAGAGGTCTTTAAGGATTGTTGGGAAAAAAGGGATAGAAGATACTCCCATCCAACACATTCCGAAAAACTTTGATTGTGAGCCAAAGATGGAGCTGTAGCATGGCCCCGAACATGTGGAACAAAAAACAAACCAGATCTATGAGATACAAAGGAGAGCATAAAAGCTATTTATCTAGAACCTTAACACACGTACACGTCAGCTGTATGCTGCAGCTCCAACTGTTCGGTGGTCACAGCTCAAATGGAGCTTAAGCGGTAGTTCCAGAAGGAAGACTCCCTTTATGCCACGCGGGATTCAGATACACTTCAGCTGGTCTCCCATAATTATCCAATCAGCGGAGATTGGCTGCACCCAGGTGTATGCGACCAACAGAGGCGGCGCTGTGGCTCTAAACCAATCACATAGTCGCTGTCAAACCTTTTTAAGGGGTTTTTCTCTGTGTTGCTGTCAGGTGTCATTAAAGTTAGGATGGAGTCCAATCGCCAAAGATTCTGCACTATTTCAATATTGTACTGAAGGGTTGGTGGTTTGAACCCTGGCTGCTCCATGTCTTGCGTGTCGAAGGGGTCAGGTGTCTTACACGGGGACACTAACTGCTCCCCGGCCGCCCTTACGGCAGCACACTACGTTGGTTAAAAATGCACCGTATGTCGCTTTGGATAACAGCGTCAGCGAAATGCCATGTGATGTAAAAGCATCGCCCGTGTCTGGCCTCTCAACTTGGGCTCCGCCAGATCAAACGCAGTCGGTCAAAGAGGAATCCAGTCAAGAGAGGTGGCTTTTCCAAATATAACCTGCTGGGACAGGGGGGACACGTTGGTGCACACTAATCGTGACAGGCAGCTGCACATGTTTAAGATCAGTGTATCCTTGAGATGCAACCAACCAACTGGAAGAATTCCCTCTCTTGTAGAAACCGTAGCAACGGCCGAAAGCAGCCTCACCATCCCTCCGACATTCACCACCAGGATTGTTTTAAGGTTTCATTTTCAGAATGGAGCAATTTAACATATTCCTGGTAATATTTTCTTCTCAAGTGATATTAAAATGCCCAATTCGCATTGTTCCACTGTCCTACTGCTCCTCTGTCAACACGGTACTTAAAGGATTCAAGTGTGTCTAAGCTTTAAATAGACAAACGTGCAGCCGGCTCGCTGAAGAAGGTCCGCCACAGAGCGGCCTCGCACACTTCACTGGGAAACAGGCCAATACAATACATCACGTGTGCACCAGTGTAACCCTTATGGGATTAAAACGCTTCCATGAAGATATAATAAATCACTGCAATCAGCGGTAAATGACTGATGTTAAAGTCACAGAGTCACTGAAGTCGCGCTTTGATTATAAAGAAGATTAACTGTCACCGGCATGAAGGACGATCGGAGGGAGAGCCTCGCAAAGGCGATCCAGACCTAATAACTGTTAGAGAAGTTTTTGGGCATACATTAAAATCCGGAGGTGGATATCAAAGCGAAAGGGGCGGTTTCCTTCTTCCCGTTGGGGCGAGGCAGGGACGGACGTTAGCTCCCGGCGACTCCACGCTGTGCTGTGTCGAGCAACGGGGCTCCTAAAGCAGAATCAGCTTCCATCTCTCATCTTGTAAAACGCATCTGGCGGAGGACGTTCCTGAATCGGGAGCGCCCTGATTGATGGAGCTCTTTGATTCAAGGCG